GGATAAGGCAGCTTGTGTGGCATGTTCTGGAGAGGGCCAGTGCCTCCTGATACATGGCTTGGAGCTACATGGAGATAAAGATCCAGGGTGAGAGAAGGACTCTGGGGAGAAAGTCTGGAGTGTCAGCACCCTATGAAAGATCAAGATGGAAGGATAACCAGGAGAAGTAGAAGATCATATTGTGTTTACTTCTTTTGGTGATCCCATCTGGAGTTTTGAGAGCTTGATAAAGCTCATTGATGGAAGGGTGAACTTCACAGAGTGCTGTCATCTGACCGAAGTGGAAGGGACTGAACAAGATTATATAATATGTGACCATATTATTTAGTATGTGACCAGAAATGACCATAGTTTCCAGCCAGCAATTGTAAGGACTTACCACTGTTGAAAAAACTTGGCCAGTTACCCTGTGGGGGAGTAATTAAAGTACCCTGGAAATGTTGCCAGGATCAGAGTTGCCTTGGTTTTGTTATATTTTGTTTTAGAAACAAGATACCCTTAAAAGGAGAAATTTTGGCATAAGTTACTTAAAGGGCTGTGTTGCCTTAATGCCAGATCTTGGAAACTGCTGTTGACTGTTGAAGTCCTTGAAGGAAACTGAGGCAGGGTAAATAGTGCCAGTGGTACTGCTGCACAATCCAGTCCTCCCACACAGTGTGTCCCAGGCTTTTCTCTGAAAAGCAGGAAATGAAAAATGGCTGAAGTTTGAATTAATACTTTTTCATACATGTTATGCTTTTGTTGCAAGACAGTCAGTGTAATATAACTTTATGCTTGATGGGACCTCTGTTAATCTGCTGCACTGAAGCACAGCTTCAGAATTCCAAAAGCCTCAAGTTAGTGGAAAAAGAGACTGAATGTTTCATTTGCATGCCTATAAATTTAGCTTCTATAAGCCTTTGGCTTTTTTAGTGAGTTTATCTTTTCTCTGTTTTTTTTGGAGATAAATTGAGAACTGCTAAAGGAGAGGGGCATATAAGGAGTTATTGGGAACCTCCTTTGAAGTTCTTGCTATCCTTAGGAGTTTAAAAAATGAAACCACTCCATGAAGAAATAAAAATGAAAAATTATATCCTATGGTTTGCAGTAAATGTCTATAAACTATTACTTCTTCTCAGCTATGTCTTTGACCTAAATTAGGGTGCTGTTACAGGTTACTTTTAAATCAGTCTAACTCAGTGGAATGTTAGGCAGTGTTAAAGTTAGAAGAGTTTCAAAGCAGTCACAGGTTAAGACCTAATGCTGTCTCTGACTTGCACAGCTGTGACTTGCCCCTACTTGCCAGGCCATCTAGTGCCATGGCCAGGAGCCAGGACTCACTTTCTCCTCTAGGAGCAGAGGCCTAGGGGTTAAGCATGGCAAGAGCATGGGGCCTGGAGAAGCATGCCTCCCTGGATGCATGGACCCCCACTAGGCTGCATGATCTCCCCACACTTGGTTCTAGGCACCCCGTTCCCCTCTCAGGAATGTGGGAGGCTGAGGAGTAAAGCCACATGCCACCCCCTGCCTCACCAAATTCTCCTGGATAGGGCAGAGCTTCTCAGCTGTGGAGCATTGGCTTAGCCTTCTGAGGGGAAGGGCTGCATACCGGCCCCCCAGGCCAGGAACCCAGGATCCCTGGAGCTGGCAGCATGGTGCCATGTGGGCTGTGGTCATACCCTCTGGGTCTGGGTGGGTGTGTTAGCTTGGGGCCAGTATAATACACTGTGCAGTACAACTTGGCAGGATTGAAAGTATGTCAGGGGTTGAGGGGCTGAAAGCTGTGCATCATGGGATACTGGATGACTGAAAATTGGTCATTTTATCTCCTTGGAGCAGGTTAACAATACCCTAGCTTAAGCTAGGTAGAATGGCTCAAAGATAACTCTTGCCTGAAGTGCCATAACTTTAAGACACTTAGGGCATTTTTACATGTGTAAGTGCTGCAGCACTGGGCAC